TTCCTTTTTGAAAGTCTTCCTTTGTAGTAAGAGTACTTAACTGTGCTTAAAATCTGCATTCAGAATTAAGCTGCAGTAGAATGGAAATGGGTGGAGATTTTGTTGAGGCATTTATATCCGATTTACCCTCCTCTCTCCTCTAATCTGTAAGCCATTTTAAATGAACAAATGAAGAAGCATACAGCTTTAGTCATTCCTTCCACATCCTGACACTTCCTGAAATGCTAAAATGGTCTCTTTGCCTTTCAGAGGCATATAGTCCCTGGGGATTTTTTCCCCTTCCGTTACACAACCTGTCTTGATTGTTAAACATCAGAAAAGCAAGCAAATAAGAATGCCAGCTGTTGCTGGAATAGGTGATTTATCAGGGAGATTGTAACATCATTGCTTCAACTTTGATGTTGATTACTCTCGTTTCATTTTAGCGCATTACTGCAAAAACAGCAATTTGTTTTACATTTATGTCTTTTCAAAATGTAATATGATACATTGCCTAAAGCTAGGTTTCATGCATGTCATTACGCTTATATAACATATGAAATATGTTCTCAGATAAATTGGAATAACTGTATTCAAAAATGTATAACCAGTTAATTTTTCATTAGTGTCGTGTGGAACATGGCATTTTTCTTCCACCTTGTGCATGTAGACTTGTTAGCATGTAAGCTTTTTGTGGTAAATGGTTTTTCTCTCTCTTGTGGACCATAATAAAACGTTGCTTATGTATGTGCCAGAGATCCTTCAGCAGATTAGATGTAGATACTCAAATGTGTTGTTACTACTGGCACAATAGATATAGACATAGTCACATTGCAGGAGTAAGCTTCATTGAATAGACCTGTGTAAGATTCTGAGTAGACCTGTGTAAGACGCTGAGGAGGTAGATTGGACTTGACCACTTCAGATTGCAGGTAGAGGATCAGTTTTGGAAAATTGCTCTGCGTTGGTTTTTCACCAGTAAAGGAAGCAAAGGAAGAAAGTAGAATTTTCCCCTGGTTGTGCTCACTTTTTGCATGGAATTTTATTTATGTAAAGGAGCATTCAAAGCCAGAATTCCTCACCTACAGCCTGGAGTAGTACAGTCAATTCTACTGTTTTGGGGCTTTGCCAGGCCTCATTCTAAAATAATTCTGCTGATGTTAAGAGCACATCCTTAGTATAATTGCCACTGAAATAAGTGAAATTTGCTTTCAAGTAAGTATACTGATGGGGTGTTGTAAGTGTACATAGCTACTTTTGAGTTCTTGAATCTGTAAAGTGAGGAGAATAATTGCAAACAGCAAAATGTATATTGTGCAGTTTCTCACTTATGCATTTCATGTGACCCTTAGTTTGCACAAAAACAAGAGGATTAATGTATAGGTGGCTGTTTTTGCATGCTTCAAGTATAATTAACTTTAAAATGTGAAAGTCTTTTCGACTGGTTTTTGTATTGTTTTACTAATCATCATTTAATATGGTTTTCATAGGATTTTTAACATGACACTGATATACTGGACAGGTAATTTCCATTGCTTTTGAAAACCTAATCCAATAGAGTAAATCCAGGTAATTGACAGAAATGAGCATCTGTGTATCTCCTTGTAGCATCATTTTGCCAAGGACATATTACATTAATTCCACGGTTTTTTTTGTGGTGAAATGTGCTATTGATTCTGACGAAAATAAAAATCACTTTTTACGTTTTGGAGAAGTGATTTACGTCTAAAATTCTTGAAAGGGTGGTAGTGTTTTCCTTTACATTTTCAAACATTGCCTCTTCTTTTTTTTCCTGAAAAAAAAGGGCAAAGGCTTCCATTTTCCTAGTGAAGTGGCTTGTGGGTAGATTTAAACTAATGCCAAACACATTCAGGGCTGCTTTGCACATGATGTTTCCCCTGCACTAGCTTTCTGATGTGCGTTTTTAACAACTTGCACATTCCCTGTGGCTTCACATATGATAATGTATGTGTTGCTTCTACACGGACTCCTAGTGTGGGAGAAATGTCATGTGCCAGCTGTCCCTTGGAGACTGATCCTGCTTGTTATATCTCTCCTTCTTTCCTGTGCATTTGCTTGCTTGCCGCTGCTTCCAGTGTAAGATATATCTTTCTGCAAGATCTCGGGAAGGCTTGCATGTGATGTGTGCGTTTCCCTAAATGATGCATGAATTTTCGATTTGTGCCGGTGCATGAAAATGTGCAAGAGAATATTTTAGAATAATGAAACGCAGAATGATGATGTCCAGCTGACTAAACCGTTAGTATTTTGTGAACGAATCACTTTTCTCTAGTTCTCAAGTTCTGTTCATTTTAGGTTTCAACAATGTTTAAATGCGTTTTGCCTTCTCCAGTTTTTAACGTTGTATTTTTATTTTTTATTTATCCCTGAGGAGCTCAGGGTGGCATACATCTTATTCTCGCCGGCTGCCCTAGTGCGGTGCGTTAGGTTGCGCTAGAGTGACAGACGCAACACAACTTCAGTTTGTGTTTTTGTCTAAACCATTATTTAAAAAACCCAATTAGGCGTGTATTTTGTGTGTGTTGTGTATAGTACCCGCCGATGGATGGCTTCAGGGGTGCCTTTCAGTTCCCATGAGCAGAAGAGCAACTAGGGGTTGGATCCAAAGGGGCCCTTCTGTTCATGTGAACTGAAAGGCAATTTTGAAACCAGCTGTAGGCACGATACAAAAATGCAAGCCCAACTGGTGTCTTTAAAAAACTATGAGTTAGACAAAAAAACAGAAACTGAAGTTGCTCCGTGTCTGTCACTCTCGCTCAACCTAACCCTACTCCATTGGGCCTGCTGATGAGAATGAAATGGGTAGGAGAACCACGTGCCTCACAGATAATAGGAGATGGAAATATTTTAGATAGCAAGTGCTTACGTTATTTCTTCCCACATTTTGAGTCTGAGCTTGTGTCACGTTAACGGTAGCTCCTGCTTTCTTTTTGCAGTGCTCAGAAAGAATAGCAGAGGGCTCTTAACCGGGCAGGCAGTTACTCCCTTGATGCTGCAAAATGACTTAAATAATTAGTAAAAGAGCAGATGAATGTTTGTGTAGGGAACACAGTGCAAATTGTGGATATAATAGATGCTTAGGATTATGATGATGGCGGAGTTAACAGAGAATGGTGGGAATGCAGTTTTCTGGTTCCTCAGAGGAGAAGCTTTAGAACCATAACTGAGGAGAGTTCAGTGGAAGTATTTTAGTAATATCTAGTGGAGCTAGCACAGGGGGGATCCTAGGTCTAAAGCACATTTGTTCCCATGAAGTGAGCATAGTTTACTTTGCATGAGGTGATTCTTCTCATAAGAGACTTCTCCCAAAAGTGCCATGACTTGAAGTGTTTGGTAGCCTTTTGGAAACAGCAGTTGGCTGGTAGACTGGCAACAGAAGCCGCTTCAGGTATTTGGGAAAAAATGACCTTTGCTCATATTTGTGCATCTGCAGCCCTTTAATTATTGTGAGTGAACAAAGCCCAGTTGACTTTTTCTGTATTGATTTCAGGAACCACATTTCTCCTTTAAATGTCTTTGGAAACTTGGATTTGTCCCTTGACAGTATATTTCATAATCTAAGGGTTTTAAAAAAGCCCTCTAACTCTTATTAGTTAAAACTGGCAGCCTCGTTCCTAGTTGACTTTAAAGCCTTTTTGGGCAGTCAGAGCCCGCACCCTATTAGGGATTATCATTCACTTATTTAAAAACCTACTCAAACTTCTTTCCTTTCTTTATATGTACTGTCAAATGCTGGATCTGTTTCTTGGCCCCTCGTTACAATTCTGGAACTTGATTCTGGGAATTACTGTTGCTTTCTGTCCATATGAGCGGGCAGCCTTTTGACCTTAACTTTAAAACAGTGGCATCAGCGTAGTTCCCATGATGGGTAAAATTAAGGCCATCTCCTGAAGAAGGAGATCTTGGTTACGTGGCTTTTAATTGATCAAATAGGCATTTGTACAAAACAACCATTTTGAACAAAAAGCCGCCTTTTCTATATGGTGCAAGTGCGTATATAGCAGTAGGCACACCGCAACAGAAGAGGTCTTGTCTTCTCTGTTGTTCGAAGATGCCACTTCTAAGATGGTGTCTGTCTCCTGCTGCCTTTGTAAGTACTTGGTGAATTGGAGTTACTTTTTAAATCATTTGAAAGGTTTCTAATCAATTTTTTTTTCGTGTAGGGTAAGCAAACACTAACTCTAGTGAACATGGGTGTTGGAAAACTATTTGGGAATACTGCTGATTAAATGGGCTCAGGTATGTGAGTCTTGGGTGCGATGCGTTTTCTTGACTGTTTTTCAACAAATGTGGTCTCTTATTCAGGGGAGAAAAATGGTTCATGCATGGTGACAGTGGTTGAAGTCTACTGTCTGGTAATTTAGATGTACTTCAAACTAGTTTTATAATAGTAAGGTCTGAGGTTGCAAAGCATTAATGTGGAAGAAGAAGAGTGTAAAAGAAATTAAATTGGCAAATTGTTTTTCACTGCATAGATAGAATCAGGTACTGAAAGATCACGCAATCCGTGAATGAACACATTCTGGAATATTAAACCAAGCAATCTTTAGATGTTTGGTTATAAACAGTTCACCTTGCATTGTCCTTCAAACATCATCTTCCTGTATTTCCAGCTGGGTTTGACTCTGCATGTGTTACAATGGGTGTTTGGTTGTTTCCTAGAAGCATATCAGGATGTTCACTGGGTTTGGAAAACACTTAGTAGGAATAAAGGGGATTAAATTGTTTATTGAACATTTTTGCTAGTTAGCAATTAATGGTGGACAATGTAATAATTCTGCTGTTTTAAAGTGCATTCATTTGCAATTAAAAACAATATCTGGTTTGCTTATAGAATGAATTACAGTGCTAATCTTAATTCAAAGCAGATTTTTTTTTTCCTGGAAAGCCCTAAAATAATTCAAGAACTCATTAGGCCTAAATGTTTCCATTCCAGTTAACAATTCTAAGAGTATCTTGTTATATAAGCCAAATGGTGATATTTAATACTTGGTTTTTAGTTTGTTTTAGGAGCTTCTGGGAAGTTATTTTTTGAAGTAATGCCCACAGAAAGTGGAAGTTGTGCCACTGCACGCCAAGCAAAGCAGAAACGCAAATCTCACAGTCTCTCGATACGAAGAACCAACAGTTCTGAGCAAGAGCGGTCAGGATTGCAGAGAGAGATGCTGGAAGGCCAGGTAAATTTGACTGGACTGGAGAGTGTTCCTTGTCTTGCAAACAAGGTTTCTTTATTATTATATCAGGTCAGGTTACGTTACATTACCTTGATAACGTTCTGTCAAGCAATATGACTAATTCCATATGGCCAGGAGGGTTTTTTTGTGTGTGTGTGTGTGTGTGGATGCCGCATGGAAGAGC